ACGATAAGAAATGATCTTTTTTCCTTTTTTTTTTTTTTTTTTTAATTTAAATAAAGCAAAAGTGCATACTCCTGAGTTAGTGGTTGGGGTTTGGTTTTTTTTTGTTTGTTTTAGAAAAGGCTTTGTTCTGCACATCATTTCCCTGAACTGCTTCTGATGTTTAACCTGTGTCAGTTGAAATATCCATGTAGTAAGAAAAACCTTGGTGCTAAGTGTACGACTGGCAGTGGATAAAGAACGCCTGCGTTTCAGGGGTCCTGAAACCTCTCTTTCAGCTGATACCGTGGTATGATTATTGAAGGTTGTTTTCTGTAAGAAGGAACAGCCCAGCTATTACTAAAGACCTCTTTCAGCTTCCTTGTGGTTCTGTGAAGTGTTGAGCTGCTTTCACAGGAGACGGTGAAAGATGAGAACAGTGAGAAGAATTGTGCAGGGTTTTTCTGTAGAATTTAGATAACATTGCTCAAGGCAAATGGTAAAGAATTTGGGGGGTGTTTGTTCCAGTGTCGAGAGGACAGGTATAAAATAAGTGACTTGGTGCACTTTGAAATACAGGTGAGGAAAGCCCTTTAAAGAAAGTGCGGGTGTACAGCAGGCCTGGCTTGGATATCTTTTTCTTTCTTCCAACTGGAACAGTCTGGGTCTGATTTTGGCCTCTGGGTTAAATTGCCAGCGTGTCCATCAGCATTACTGGTGTTCATGCTGCTGGGTTGTGGGAAGAGATCCTTTTCAATACTTCGCCACAGCTTCTAATGTGTATATCCAGCAAGCCAAATCGGTGGGCTTCGTGGGTGTTCTGTAACAGCTGCCAGGACTCTGTGCATTGCCACGGGACTTTCTCGTTTTCCAGACAGTTTTGTTGATGTTCGTACCTTATTTTCGGAGGGACAGATGATGAATAAAGCTTAGGAACTCTCGTAGTAGCTCCAGGTGACTGTTGACAGTAGGTGTTATTTGAACGAGCAATTCTAAACTAAAAGCTTTTTTCCCCTCTCTACTTCATACTTCCCACCGCTATCCTGTTCTCCCCTCTCCAGAATGTTTCTCACTCTAATTTCTTGTTGTATTTCAGGGAATACCTTGGAAAGCAGTTGCAGTCGGAACAACCTCAAACGGCCACTGCCCGGAGCTAAACACGTCCGTCAGTTCATGCTTGTAGCTACAGTATGTTTGTCTTTAATATCGAGCAAACACTGAAATCTCATGTTCTTTGCCTGCTACTAGTGCATAAACTTTCCAGCTGTTGTTGGCTTAGTAAGAATTTGTTTGTTGAACTAGTTCTGATGATTATGCCGATTAGCTTCCTGCTGTATTCTGAATGTATATGAGGAAACGTGGCTGATCTATTGCGTTTGTTTTATGTATTTATTCTCATAATAAAGAATGTTATTAAAGGATATTCATTCCATGTTATAATTAGTCTAGAAAAATTGTTCTCTTCTTTTAGTGGGTTATCAGTGTTGTCACTTTGCAAGAAAAGCAAGTGGTCCCTATGTGTCTCCAGACAAATTGGTGTTCTGTAGGAAATGCAATAGCCGGAGAAATGTTGATTATCAGTACTAAAATATATACCAAGTCTCAAAATAGTGTTATAATTATATATAAAAGCAAATGTATGGGTATTGTTGGGGGTGGGGTTCTTCTCTCTTCTTAAAGACTACGTTAAAAAATCTGGACGTGAGAAGAGGAAAAGAAAACGAACCTCCCTCTAATGAAAATTGATGTACTTAAGATTGTTCGTCAAGCAGTGTTAAGGCTGTAGATCAGACATCAGGTTGGGGTTGAACAGGTAACTGATGAACTTGGAATTCATGGGGTGTTTTTGTTATTGAAGATACTTGTAAATGTTAGGGTTCTGGTGTCGTTCTAAAATCTATTGTATTTCCTTTATACTAGCCAAATAATTTGGCTATCAATCTTTTCTGTGCTTCGTAGCTCCTGATAGTAAAAAAGGTGTAAGTGTCAATAAATCACCAATGATGCTGGATGTGAAAACAGTCTTGTTGCATGTCTAGGAGTTTGGCTCCAGGCACTTGCAGCACAGCAGTTCATTTTCTTCTCCTTCATGTTGTGAATGGGGAAAAAAAAAAAAAAAAGATGAGAGAACATGGTGTAATCTCATCGCCAGTGTTGTGTGGTGCAAGTCTCTGAGGAAGCTTAAGGCGCTTTGTCATCAAGTAAAAAAAAAAACAAATGGGGAGAACTTTTCTTACCCAGTCTGGTTTTCCATTGTACGTACCTAGAATTTGACCACTGTTGCAATGGAGAGAGAAGACTTTTAGGGGGTGACTGTTTGTGCTGATTTCTTGGCCTGCTTAATTATAATTATAATTGGATTGTGCAGATTAATGACTGTTGCTTACGTCTGCATGCAGGAGGCGTAGGGTTTGACACCGAAGTTAATACCATGAGGATAGGTGCTGAAGCCTGGAAAGGATTAAACTGACTTCAGTTGGAGTGAGGGTTATCTTCATGGATCTTATCTCAGCGCGGCACGTTGGCACAGTGATGAGGGATACTAGTGGTGAGGAGGGGTGTTGGGAGAACAAGGGAGCACCTACACTGCCATTTTTACCTCAGGCCAGCTGAATGCTTTTGAAACAGCGAGCCTTCCCTGCTTTTCACGCTTCGGTTTGCATCGCATGGTGGTGTCAGTGCGTGACTGGGGTTCTTCGCCGATAAAGCTAACCTGCAGGACGTGCACCCTGTGTGGCTTGGCTCCTTGGCAAGGGTTCAGTCCGCCGGGCCAGGTAAGGTTCTGTTTGAAGTACGGCCCTTTGAAATGCGTGCAGCAGAAACGGGATTCTTAGCGCCCAAAGCCTTGCTCTACCAGTCAGATTCTTGTGTCACACTTCTTGCTGATGTGAGCATAGCCTAAAACTTGGCGTGAAGATGCTGTAAAAGGTTGGTTGTGTGGTTACAGCTGTAAGCTGGGCACGAGAACCGTGACAGGGCATTAACGGGGAAGGAACATACCCCCACCTTCCAAACCAGAAGTTCTTGTTGTTTCCTTTTTTGAAGGGAACGCTGAAGCACTGCTCGGTAAGGGGACTTGGTGTGAGTTGTGTGAGGAAAGATGATGAATGCTACTGATGGCAACCCCTCCTGTTTTTTTGGGAGCTAGAAAGAAGCAGGCTATTCAAAACACGAAATAAAATTGCTTACAGGGGTTATCCTGAAACACCTAAATATTGTGTTCATGTATTATGCAAATAAATTCTCCTGTGTTGCTTTGCTAGTGTTACTCTGTGCATAGTTTAGTTCTTCATTATGCGGTCTGTTTCCAAGCTATGTGATACCCGCATTCTCCTCCATTTAGTTAGAGATAATTCTGTTAGAATATAAATTAATTTAGAGAATTTATTTAGAGAATGAATCTCTCAGAGAAATGATTGTGATGTTTCACTTACATCAATGTTCAGTATTGGTGGTCTGGTGCCTGTGAAGCTTGAAAGCCACGAGCTTTCCAGCCCTCAATGGTAATGTTCAGGTGGCTCAAGGGTGGTGATCTTGGGGAGTTCATGCCCACTATTGGGCAGTAAGAAGCCTGGAAACTTGGTGGTGGTGGTGGAGGATCTTTCTGTGCAGCCAGTAATTTGGAGCGTGAAGCTGCCAGAGCTGAGATTTCTGCAGGAGTCGGGGTGGTCACCGTGCCCCAGAGGTCCTGGGAATCTTGGCATGGCGAGCTGCAGACTGGTTTCCAGCTGTAGGTTCTCCAGCCCCCATCCCACGGCAGGCCCTATAACGACAGGTGCTGGAAGGCCTTGGATCCATGGCCCAAGAGAGAAAATGGGGCAGAGCTGTCCTGGAGCTTTAGCCTTGGAATTCAGCAAACTCAGCCAAAAGCTTTTGTTGAATTTCAGCTAATTCATAGAACTTCCTAGTGCATCTGGGTTTTGTCTGACAAGTTGTGATTAGCTTTAGCTCTTGCTACTAAGCACTGTTTTTACTGTTCACCTGTTTGCATTAGCTCACTTACTTGCCTTATTCTCCCAAAATCTGGCTTGGGGCAGGTAGGCAGATGCCATGGTGGCAGATCGAATGCTTCAGGGACGTGTGATGACAGTGTGGGGAGAGCTCGGTGTTAGGAAGAGAAGTGTGTGCCAGCAGCTTCCTTCCTCCCCTCTGGTGACGTGAGGATTTAGAGACTGGAGATTAGCTGCCATGGACCAGGTGACTAACTTGCTTCTAAAGCGAGGGGATGTGGTTACCTACCTCCAAATTAGGGTCATCAGTCTTCTCGTTATGAATTTTTTCTCCATTTTAATTTTTGTTTTCACTCTTAGTTGCATCGCATCCAAGAGCTTAATTTTCCTGTCTTTGAAATGTTTATAAAAGGACTTTAAAACTTGCATTTCGGATTTCTTTTGCTTTTCATGATACATCTGCTTAAATGATTTTCTTTCACCTTCAGTCTCAGTCTGAAATCTAAATGGGAAATAAATTTGAGTAAGTTTGCAAGATGCAGCAACTATGAAAAGAATTTAAACCTGTCACAGTTCAATGCAGGAGGGATGGAGGGGACGCGTGGTGAAGAACACTACTGACAGCTGTCACTAAGGCAGGAAAATGATTTAATCGTATGCTTCGTGTATGTTTATTGTTCCCACAAGCCGCTTGAGATCTTAAGGCCTGCAGCTGGGTGAAGGGGAGGCCAGATCTTGGTCTTGGCCAGTGTGAGCTACTCTGCTAGGAACAAAGCCGGGCTGAGCAGGAGACGGGCTGCCCGGGCCCCGGCTGTACCTCGCTGCGTCAGACCTCCTCAAGTATCTCACCAGAACTGCAAAACTGACTGTGTGCGCCCGCACGAACAAGTGAAGCCTGTCAACAGCTTCTGACACTCAGACCTGCTGGGTCAGTACCTTTTTTTGATGAATACAATGTGCTGGTTTTAGCCCAGGAGGTGACCAGGGGTTGGAAGAAATCCTGTGGACTCATCTCTATCCAAAAGCTTTTGCTTTTCCCCTTGGCCCCTTCTGCAGAGTGGTTGTGAGTTGTCTTTCTAGAACCACGTGCTGCGTCAGAGTTGAGAGCACAGCTAGTGCTCCCCCGAGGCTCAGGTATGTTATTAACGTAATTATATTCACTTCCTCTTAAACTCCAAAATGATTATTGAAAAAAATCTGACCCGCTGTTGAAATCTTCAGATGGCCGAGGGCATCGTCACTCAAATACCGCCGAAAGCAGCAACCTCGCTTGCAAATGGGAGGTGCAGCATTTAGGGAGTTACCTGGGAACTCTTCTTACCTTGGGGTGTGCGTATTTCATCAGTACAGCCAGTGCTGAGGTGCGTCTGGCAGTGCTGAACACAAATGGTGTGCTAAAACCTCTCCATATCCTTTGTTAAAGAGTATTTTTCATGACGAGCCCCTTGGCCTTGCTGCTGCTTGTAAGCTAAGTCACTCTACAGTAAGGAGCCCCACAGAAACCACAAGTGGAATAATGGCTGAGTGTCTTGTTTCTGTTACTTGGTTCTATCCAAGAACACTTCTGTGCTATGGGAACGTAGTTTTTCTTGGGGGGGAAACTTAAAAAGGAAAAAAATCCCTCTTCGTGTAAAAGCGGACACTGGGACAACAATTTTTGTTTTTTAACCTGACAGTCTCACTGATTTTCCCAGAAGGGCACAATTTCTCCTTCTGTGTGAAAACGAAATCTGTAGAAGGGAACAATTAAGTTTTTTCATGAGTCATCTTTGGTGCTGTTATGTGCATATTCATGATAGAATTTTTTGAAGGCTCTTTGGTTAGTTTGCCTTGTCTGGATTCTGTGTAGAGACAAACCTGTCAAGCTGAAAATTTAAATAACTTTTTTGGTGTCGTCATAAATGTTTTTAAAAGGCTGCACACATCCAGCTCTGCCAAAAACTGGGCGTAGTTGGGTAGCCGACTGTGGTGATGACGGTTAAAACCCATCGGTTTGGAAATCACAGGTCTGCTGCAGTATCAGATTATTTTGTAGCGAGAAAACATGATAAACTGCAGGCTTAAAGGTCATCATCCTCCGGATAACTTCCATGAAAAGGAAGGGTGCAAAACAAGCCGATTCTGGTAGGTTCAGGTGGCTAAAATACAGCTTTGGCTTATGAGTCTGCCGGTGTGGGGATCGTAGGTAATAGTCTCGTTGTGGAAGCATGCAAACGCAGGGCAAGATACATTGGTCATCAATTAAAAGATGAAATAATTTTGACATAAAATACTGAGTATAAAAATAACCCTTAGAAATTTTTCATTTGTTTTTGAGATTTTTCAGTGTTTCAGCATATATTTTTTTTTGGCTAGAAGACCACAGGATATTTTAATCTCAAAGCTTTTGGAAAGAACTACTTTTGAACTAATGCATCTTCTTCAGTGCTGCCACACTATCCATTCTCTCCTTTTTTATTTTCTTT